TTTATCATACTAAGTTGATGCTATCCATCCTGCTCAGTATGCAATTTATTTCAATTCTGAAGCTGTCTCTTCTTACAGTTAATTAAGCACCAACTATTACCCTGGTTGTTAAACACCAAATATTAAACACCAAGTATTAACTGGATTAAATAAAGATAAAGATTGGATCCACAGCAAAGGAAATGAGAAATTCTAATTCTAATAGGAGAAACAATTGCGTATACTTTGGTAGCTACCAAAACATTATGTACAGTAATTAAAGGATGACCATGAGGCATTTGGCAAATTTAAATAAAGTGAAAAATAAAATAGTGAAAACAGTTCGACTGGGATACAAAAAATCATTCTTTCTGGCTTTTCTTTAACACTATAAAGTTCAGTAACTATTTTCACTTTGCCTATATTTTTTGGGTTTTGTTATCTTGCCTTTTCTAGTCTTTTATTCTATTTCTTATAAGTTTCTTGGGCACTAGAGTATTTTTGTTTTATTTATTTTGTTTAGCCTCTTCCTCAAACCCAGTATTCTTTAGTGCATATATTTTCAATAAAATCCAGTAACGAATAATTTTCCCTTTAAACTAAATGTGCTTAAGAGTAGGACCGAGGACGAGAAATGTAGTAGATACTTGCAAATCTTCCACACCATCCACACAGAGAAAGCCAGAACTAGAGCTGCAGAAAAGTTTGTAACTAAGTATTGCCCTCCAGTGAAAAAAAGATGACAGTTCTCGGGAAAATAAAAATCAAAGTAAACACCTGGGCTTATCGCCTCATGCTTAGAAAGGGCTCAGAAATGTTGGTATTTCCTTTGCTGGGAGGAGGAGCAGGTACATTGAAAAGCATAAAACTAGGGCCCTTGCCTCCTTCCCTTCAGAAAAGTTTTACTGAGCTCCTGGGCCAGACACCCAGACGTAGGAAGACAAACAAGCTATAGGCCCTGTTCTCGGGGATCTGGCATTTAGTGGATACAGGTAATCAGGTAACGAGATTATGGTGTGACAACTGCTATGACAGAGGTGATCTGGGGGTACTTTGGAAATACAGAGGGTGGGCACTTAATTCAGACTCTGCAGGTCACAGAAAACTTCCCGTGCGGGAGGTGATATCTAAGTTGGGCGCTGAATGACAAAGAGTTGAAGGTAGGCGGCAGGGGGGACGTTGAGTGAGGGTTAGTGGGTAGCCAGGCAAAGAAGCCCTGTTAGGCTTTAGATATAAAGGTTGAGATCTTTAAAAACTTATGTTTTCATTTGCAGATCTTTTACCTGTAAGTGGCTCAAAACAGCCCCTCGGTAAAGTAAAACTGTGGAAGGGCAGAGTTTACCTCACCGTTCACTAGACGTGCATCCTTGACCTAGAGCCCACCATAAATTAACAGTGACCCAAACTCCATTTTCTCTAGTGTGTCTCTTCAGAACTCTGCTTGGACAGTATCTTGAATTATTTGCTTATGCTTCACATATAATCCCTGAGAGATTTTGTCAGTTGTGGAGTAGAAGCTACTAAATGAAGGCTGTGAAGCGTATCTCTTCATTGTGTACAATTTAGAATAGAAAAGGCACGTGTTCTCTTTTGGAATATGACAGAATTCCATTTCAGTCTTGCTATAATTCTCATGAAACACTGTCATGCTCCACTACAAAAACAGGAGGAAACCATTACTTTACAGGTATTTTTAAAATCTACTTAAAGAAAACAAAACTTCAAAATTCCCAAACTTTTAGCTATGGTATCAGAATACAGCGTTTCTAGTCTTCTGATAATAACTATGAGTTAAGATACATTTCTTCTATTTATTAATACTATCCTTGGTTAAAAATAAAGTGATTATAATGGCACTCACCTTGCTTTTCAAAGAATAAGTGGACTGTTGAATAGAATATAATTTTAAAATTTGCCAACAAGAAACTTTAACTTTTTAAAATCTATTCTGCCTCAAAGCTATTGTTTGTAGAGGTCCATTTTACATATTCAAAAAATTCTTTCCTTGGGGCGCCTGGGTGGCTCAGTCGTTAAGCATCTGCCTTCGGCTCAGGTCATGATCCCGGGGTCCTGGAATCGAGTCCCGCATCGGGCTCCCTGCTCCGCGGGAAGCCTGCTTCTCCCTCTCCCACTCCCCCTGCTTGTGTTCCCTCTCTCGCTATGTCTCTCTCTGTCAAATAAATAAATAAAATATTTAAAAAAAATTCTTTCCTCTTTCTACTTAAGGATTCTGCTGAAAATTGCCTACCATGCTTCCAGAATAGAGCACGAAAGATTTCTCATTGAGCTTTGTTCACACAGAATCATGTGGAAAGACCAAAAGAGCCAAAGGCATGGATGAGCCAGAACATGACTTCGGAAGTTAGGAGATTTTTTTTTTTTTAAGATTTTGTTTTTAAGTAATCTCTACCCCACGGGGGGCTCAAACTTTCAAGCCTGAGATCAAGAGTAGCATGTTCAACCGCCTGAGTCAGCAGATGCCCCTGAAGTTAGGAGATTCTAATTCAAGTCTCTGTTCTTTCTTTACTAACTCTCTCTCCTCTTCTAGGCAGTAGTAATTATACGATTTACTAAAATGTTCTAAGACTTGAGTTCTTTGAGGGCTCTAGATCATAAATCTATAATGATCTAGTATAACTATTATTAGTGATATAAAATGTTTTCCTAGAAAAATGTGGACAATGACTTTTATGAAATAGTCCTAAGAAATTTACTAGATGAGTTAGACACTGGGATAGAAAAGTCTATAGGAAAAGGTTTAGAGTAATCCAAACTGTAACTCAGTGTAAAATCATAGGTAACCCAATGATCTTAAAAATTCATTTATTTGCCAGATGATAGAGGGTCCCATTTGCAATGACTTAATTTTTAATATACTACCAGAAGTGCTTTCTGTCCACCAAATGGCTTGGATATAATATAATCTAATGTAATATAATATAGAGAGTAAAATGATTATTTCATGTAGTTCTTTGCTGTATTTTTCACCTTAACCAAAAGTATTTTATTTGAAAATTACAAGTTTACTTTCTTCCAAGAAGAAAACTAAGGAACTTCTATTAGAATTATTCTTTGGGTTTTCTCAAATATTTCATATAGTTGCTATATGGAACAAATAGGCAAGTTAGTGTGTCTATCAGCCTATACAACATTAGTAAACCATTATGAAACTGTATTTTTACCTAAAAAACATTATGAAGACACTCCATTTTTTATGGCTCTTAAAAACCGAGAGATATGTAAAGACATTTTTATAGTTGAAAAAACTAACTTAGGAAAAAAAGAAAGAAAAATAACTCCGAGAATAGTGCCGATCATCCAATCGCAGTTGTAAAAAGACAATGGTGATCAGATTCCTATTATGTACATAATATACTTCTAGAAGGGGGAAAGAAGGATGCATATGGGGGTGCTTTCCTCTAACGAAGGGAGTCAACATGTACACAGGGTCAGGGAATGGTGACTCACACATTTTGCCTTGAATGCCAATGTTTTATTTGAATCTTTGAAATACGTATCCATGTATTATTTGTGTTAAAAACCATGAACTGCAGTAGGAGCCATTCATGCCTCCCCGCATCATCAGTGCTGCTTCCCGATTGTGGCTGGACCCCTGCAGTGGCTACAAATGCTGTTTCCCAAATGCACATTAACCAAAATACAAATACCTAGTAACTGTTTGAAGAAGTATAGCTGAATTCAATAATGCTTGGAATGTATCACCCATGTTTCGGTAGAGGATACAATAGGCACGCTTGAGTTCAAGTTCTGTGAAATGGCACGATGTGCTGTTTTGGGCGGTCACTCCTGATGGATTCCTGTGATCAGGGCAGGCATGATTTCTCTCACTGTCCTGCTGACTGCACTAGAAACAATGCTCACCTGTTTGTGCCTTTCTATTTTTTTTTTTAACTGTTTGACTTGCCTTTGAAAAACCCAGAAAAGACAAAAATATTCCACTGTTTATTCGCTAAGTCAAAGCCAGTGCTCCTTAAAAAGTTGGCTGATCCCCTACCCCCTAATTACCTTGCAACACAAAGCTGTGACAGAAGGTCTGTCAGCAGATTTTATTGACAACCCTTGAGGAAAAATCCTCTTTCTGTTTCACTTCATGCAGAAGTTTGCAAAAGGGAACACTTGGCAGTACTTCAGATGCTCACTGTCTGCTGGTGTTGATAATGCAATTCTTTTGCTTGGTGATGGCAGCTTCTATAATGCTGTATCATTCATGTAGACCATTATGCCCCAGCTGACTGCATTCACTGACTAAACAAATCATTCATACAATCACCTCAACTGTTTAACCTTTTCTCTTCCTACAAGCTTAGCATTTGGCTGTGGGCTGATTTTATGCTGAGTTCTATTGTTGAAAAGTGTCATGCTCCACCTGGCATGCTTACAAAATGTCTTTCATGCAGATAAACAGTCAGCTGACCTGAATGAAGAACATTGGTAATTATAGGTGATGCACTAATATTTATTGTACATTTTAAAGGGAATGGCAAAGTATCACACAATTAGTACGTAGATTTAAAATGAGTTTTTTTAATAATACAGTCATATTCACACAACCCACAATAACTTCCCAATAAAAATTCTGTTTGTATAAGACCTAAAATATGTCCCAAAGAAAAGTGTGTCCAGGTAGTCAAAGCATATGCTTTCTTTTTTTCTAGTAGTAGGGAAAAATCAGTGACTTGGTATCTCTAAATTGTGTTCTTGAGCACGTGAACAGCATCCCAGAAATCATATGGGTTCTCAAGCCACTAAAGTCTACAAAACTGCTCAAAGCCACAGGTGAAAAGTCACTTGGGGAAATATTTGTAAAATAAATATGCTGGCTATTGTTTGGACTAACTCCCATGGGAGAAGGATTATCTTCCAAAATACAGCTGATCAGTGTAACCAATATAAGGTCTAAAATTACACACTTCGGAAACAGGCTACATGTGTTGCCTATTCACAACTGTAATGAAAGAGATTGGGGAGGACACAAATAAAAGAAAAATGCATTTACTCACTGTGTTAAAATTTGGAAAGAGCCCAACAGCAGAACTACCGTCCACTGGAAAAGACATAAATGGTTTGATATCCAGTGAAGGCTGCATCATCAGGGTAGGGGTACGCACAAGAGCAGGAAGTGTAGTAGTGTGGCATGTACTGCCTGCCAAGAACAAAACAAAAATGAATTCAGTCTCTTGCTCATATCCATCTCCTTCCCCAACCTACCGTGCAAAAACAGGACTGCTGAGCTGCAACCTGAGAGCAAGAGAGTTATGCTGAAGGTAAGCAAACGGCGTAGGAGGAGAAAATACAGTTAAAAAGGTTCTTCTTGCTCATGATGTTAAGACAGTGATGCAGAATACTTCGCTATGGCAAGGGCCAAGGGCTGCTCAGATCCGGCAGAGGTACATAGTACACGGATCCTGCTGGCAGATGGGGCAGAATGAGATCATCCTGTTCAACCATTGTCTCTGACTTGCCAAAAATGTAGGAGAGAGGAGGGGAGGAGCCTCTTGCAGCCAGATGCTCTTTACTATTCAGAGTTATTGAATGGCTGGTAGGCATGTTTTATGCAAATCAGAGATAATTATAGGGTTTTTACAAGGGGGAAAAAACCTTGGACTCACAGTCACTGCCTGCTCCCAAGAAAATTATGACTCAAACAATTTTATCTCTAAAAAAAACCAAACTGAAAGTTGCCCTTACTTTGAGGGAAATAAGTAGTCTAGACATTGGATAGTAAGAGAACCTTAAAGGAGTGATTACTGCTGAAGGGAGAGATTACTGCCCAGGTGGGGCAGGGTACTGGGGGACAGGAAGAAGTTAGGACAGAAACTCAAATATTTGTCTCCAACTTGAATTCTAATAAGCCTTGCATTTTTGTAGCAACTATCCCTTTTTAACAGTTACATTAGCTGTCATTTCTTTAGGAATCTGGGCTAACCCATGTGTGGGAGATTTAAAGCACTCCTCTCCAGCAACAAGCATTCTTCTTCTGAAACCTCCATCTACTGCAGGTAAGTATCTGTTGGTGCAGGTGGTCCTCTGGGAGATAGGCTCTGGTGTGCCTTTTCTTTTTTTTTAATATAGTAACTTTATTGAGATATAATTAACATACCAGACAATTCTCCCACTTAATGTGTACAATTCCATGGCTTTTAGCATATGCATAGTGTTGTGCACATCACTACAATTTAGAACATTTTCACAATCCCTAAAAGAAATTCCATACCCGTTAGCAATTTTCCCCCATTTCCTCTCCATACCCCCAGCTCCCAGCAACCACTAATTTACTTTGTTTCTAGGTTTGTCTATTATGGACATTTGATTTTTTTAAAAATTTGTTTTTAAAGCTTTTATTTACTTGAGAGAGAGAGAGCATGTGCATGTGCATGAGCAAGGGGGAGGGGACGGGGGGGAGAAGGAGAGAGAGGGAATCTGAAGCAGACTCGGTGCTAAGCGTGGAGCCTGACACAGGGCTCGATCTCACTACCCTGAGATCATGACCTGAGCTGAAACCAAGAGTCGGCCGCTTGGCCGCTCAACCGACTGAGTCACCCAAGTGCCCCTATTATGGACATTTCATTTAAATGAAGTCAAAGAGGGTTGCCTGGGTGGCTCGTTGGTTGAGTGTCTGCCTTTGGCTCAGGTCATGCTCCCAGGGTCCTGGGATCAAGCCCCACATCGGGCTCCCTGCTCAGCGGGAAGCCTGCTTCTGCCTGCCACTCTGCCTACTTGTCCTTTCTAACTATCTATCTCTCTGTCCAATAAATAAATAAAATCCTTAAGATAAATAAATAAATAAGCAAAGTCAAACAATATGAGTTCTTTTGTGACAGGCTTCTTTCACTTGGCATAAAGTTTTCAAGGTTCATCCATGTTGTAGCATGTATGAGAATTTCATTCCTTCTTAAGGCTGAATAATATTCCATTGTAGATGTAAACACTTTTTTTTCCTTATTCGTTCATCAGTTGATGGGCATTTGGGTTGTTTCCATGCTTGCGTTATTATGAATAATGCTATGAACATTTGTCTGTAAATTTTTGTGTGGAGATATATTTTCAGTTCTCTTAGGAATATACCCAAGAGTAGAACTGGGGACTCTTGTGCCGTATGATAATCATATAGTTTAACTTTTTGAGAACTTTCAGACTGTTTTACAAAATGGCTGAACCATTTTATAGTACCACAAACAATGTATGAGGGTTCCAATTTTTCCCAGCATGTCTATACAGGACCACAAATAATTATACGCCGAAAATCTCCTACTGACTTCAAGGAGAAATAAACAGTATGGGAAAATGCTCCAACTATTAAAATTTCCTCCAATCTTCTCACACAGTGTTCCAGAATAATTAAAATTTCTATTTCAATGATATATTTTTTGATAATGGATTTCCTTAATAAACTCTGCATTATATTTCAAATCATTCCAGAACATTATTAGTAATAGTTTTTAATGGACTATCATGCCTCATTTACATTGATCCTCAAAACAGAAAAAAAAGAAAAAGGCTTCTGAAACATTCATCTGTAATGGCAAGTCTTTAGGTCAGCCCCATCCATTAGGGAATATAGAGGAGGACTCAGCAAAAATAGAATCAACCGAAAGTATAGATCAAACAGTAATGGTTTTTTCTGATGCCAAAGTAAATACTCTGATCTCATTCTGGCATTCACATAACCACCCTGTATTTGATTACACATTTTTCTTCTAATTAGGTAATGTTACATTCATTGCTAGCTTCAGAGCTTGCAGATCCAAGATGATATATTATGTCAGTATTTCGATGTTGCAGAAGCACTTATTATAATCTTTATTTTTAAAAGCTTTGCTTTAAAATCTTAGCTAAATTGAAAAAAAAAGATATTTCTTATTTTAGACCGATGGCCTTTTACAACTCACAATTACTATAATTGTCAAAAGTCAAAAGTCCAAAAAGTATACAGAATTACTCTACTTAAAGCTGCCTAATGGACAAATTATTTTGCCATCATGGGTCTCCCCACATCAAAAGCAAAATTCTTTCTATAAGCCCGTGTAGTACAAGGTATTGGAGGGCTTGGCAAGAGTCATTTTGTACTCACAAACTCAAATCAAACATAATGCAACATGGAACTTGACAAACAGATTGCTCCATCAACAAAGGTCAGAATGCACAATGATCCCCTTTACCCAATCGAATATCTATGCTAATAAAGACAAGGCTTGAGAACTACTTAGCTGCCACCATTCATTAGCATAAAAACTTAGCAGCTGTTTACCATTCATTAGCATTTTAATGACAGACAATTTGCCATGTTAAACACAGATTGTTTTAAAGTACTGGTAGATCTCCTGAATAAATATAAACTGCTTTCATCAATTCCCCTCACCTCAACCTTGCTGTTTTCACTTTTCAAACCTGCTTTTTCATGTCACTTCACCTAGACCCATTGCTTCACGAAGGAAGTTTTTGCAAATGGGAAATGAATGAGGATAAAGTGCTTTTTTTTGCACAAATTAGGTCAGGCTTTAATCCCTCTGTCACGTCATTCCAGATTTTGTTGCTGCTCCCCCTGCTGGGAAGCATTTCTCCTCACCTTGGGATGCCCAAAAGCTGGTGGGAAATACAAGCAGAAATTTGTCCAGAATACATTGTACCCTGCAAGAAAATGCTTAGTATCTTTAACATTTCCTGGGAAAACAGAAAGGGTTGACAATATAATGAGCATAAAGCATGATATAATGTATCTTTTACATTGCTATGCTCATGGGACAGGACCAGCCTTTGTCTTTTGTATGAACTATTTGGCAGTATTATGTAAGACACCTCCTATATGTAGTTCTATTTCAAAGCAAAGAATACAATCTTACATACATATTATAATGAATCAAGTCATAACAGGGCTCCACCTTATTAGATAATAAAGATTTTTATTTTTTTTAAGATTTTATTTATTTATTTATATAGAGAGAGAGCAGGGGTGGGGGGCTAGAGGGAGACGGAGAGAGAGAGAGAGAATCTCAAGCAGACTTTCTGCTGAGTGTGGAGCTGGACCCGGGGGCTCTATCCCAGGACCCTGAGATCATAACCTGAGCCGAAATCACGAGTTGGATGCTCACCTGACTGAGCCACCCCGGTGCCCCAATAAAGATTTTTATATCACTTGCTGTATATATAGATCAAACTCCCTGACCTAAAATGAAATGCACACAAGCATGCATGCCTGCTCCAAAGATCCGACAGTCACCGCTCTCACACGGACACTGCACATGTTCATATACTTTCCCATAAGAATGCTATTAACCCTCTCCCCCAAATTTCATTTTCATTGTAAAATCTAAGTTGTATTCATCTATAACTATGAAACTAATAATGAGAAAGACAACTCACCACTATGATCATAAAACTATTATTCGGCCAACTGCCTCTCTAACGTAATAGGTGCTTTATTATGTCAACAGATTATGTTGTAATCCAACACAATAAAACCCCATTTGAGGGTTAGGTGACATGTGAAATTATTGCCTTAGTCTTTGACCTTTAGAAATATAATCTTGAAGATTTAGGTGATAGCTCTGAGAGTTCCTAGCGGCTCTTCTCTATGTACCAAAACATGAGCAGACAAAACACCCCAGTGTTAGAAGGAGGAAATGCCGAAGTCACAGAAAAACCGTATGGAGAAGCATTTACAGAATGAGATCAAATCTATTCTATATCCCATAGAAGTAGTTTTTTCTTATGCCATTATTATGTATGTCTGCCCTAGTGAGTACTGAAATAAAAAGCTTAACATATAAAAGTCTATCGGGTGGAGGCAATGCCAATTATAGAACTCCCAGAGATGTCTTTAAAGAAATTAAAATGAGTGATGCTTGAAAGTCCTACCAAACTCAGTTTTCTTTTTACTGCTTTCCCAGCTTTGTTGCCTCTTACCCTGAGTAACTTTCCCTCTTAACCGCCACAATCACCACCCAGCGGCTCCTCTCCCCCTCTCCCATCATTTCCATTCTTTCATCAGTCTAACACGTGAGGAAAACAAATTTATCAAGAGATCAAGTGCGTCACAAGGAGGTGGCTATGTGAATAGGAGATGTGACTGATAAAGGGCTTTGTTTCTGAAAAGGCCACATAATAATAATAACAGAGATAACATTTTTACAGTTCATACTATGT